ATCCCAAAGCGTCACTTTTGCAGATTGACAATAAAATATAGAGTAACATTGAAGATGGTTTGTCAAGTTAAGCAGAAATTAAATGGTACTTTTCGATCATTTAGGAAAAAGGTCAAACACCCAATGGCCTCAAAACATTAATAAAAGAAGTCATTACTAATAACATGCAAAATGTTTCCACCTGACCTGCCATTTGTTACAGACGTCGACAGTCGACCGCCGACACAAACCGCCGAGCACCGTCCACAAAAAAAGTTGGAGGGTAAATCGATATATGACCATTGTGATGTAACCACTTGTGGTTGTGACATAAAAATGATCTGCACAAAGTCCACTTATCTATGAATTACACAGTTAAGCGAAAAATTGTTTAGTAAATTTTATATTATATCTCTGACTTATAACCTTCTGTGTTTAGTGAGAAATATAAGACGAGGTGAAGTTTATAAGTTTTAACTCTTGTAAGGCCTGCCCAGCGTTCACTTACAATACTTTGCCTTTTACATTCGAAACATGGAGCAAGAACTCTGAATCTAATACCAAGATCATGTAGGACGATAAGCCAAGGCTTCATTTGAGATTGATTTGACATGCAGATATAGGGAAATTGTTAAGGGAGAGGGATTTAGGATCCATCGGGACTTAAATTTGAGTCCGAAACCGAATGTGATCTATGAACTACACTATCTTTTCTGACAATTTTGTTTGCTTAATGCCTAAGGCAATCATCGACTATTGAACTGTGACATAGATTCTTTCGTTTGGATACAAGGCGCTTTAGAGCCGAGGCATTTAGTCAGGTGAACAACTGTGAGGTTGATATACTTTGGTATAGCATCTGCACACTTGGATTGTAAAGAATGGAGGCATATTTGATGATCCAATACATTTATCACAAACAAAAATGCTGTTGAATCTTGTCATGCTTCAGTTGAATATTCGTATCTTTATGTCAAAATGATTTGACATTACGGAACTGTTTTCCTTCAAGCTGTCCATTTCGATTAAATCGAAGTTGAACGTGACCTCGCTGTCTGAATGTTTGTAGGCGACTTTCACATGTAACGAATATTTTAGTGGCATTTTTGAAAAAGCTATCTATCTTTGCTCCAAGAATAAAGGGTGCCATTTCACTGGTGAAACCAATTCTTCTTAACCCTCCACAAATAAAACCCTATTTTAATGTCTGAATGAATACTGTTAAATGATTTTCATCATATAACGTGGCTGATAATGCTGATGCCCAGCCACAAGCACATGTGCACTTGTTTTAATGTATTCTTTGTATAAATAAATAAAATTATTCTCTGTGTCCATATGATGCCAGGGCACGGAAGGGGGGCAACCTAATAAATTTGGACACCTTACATGTCCCTCTTAGATGTGCCCTTACTCTATCTAGACACGGGAAAATGGTTACCCTGTGTATTATTTACACCTTATGAAAACCGATTCTTTTACCATTATTTTCTGTGTTTTTGAATTCAGTCCCTTTCCCTATTTGTAACTCCTAAAAAATTAAAAATTTGATCTCGGTTTCCTCCGAGCCCTCGGGAACTGCCATTTGGTCCTGCGGAATAAAACCCATATTCACCTCACAGTAAATAACCCCTCTATAAATATATTTATCCTATGCCAAGCAGAGTTTTAGGGAGATAAGTTGGTAAGATATATCCCGTATCCTGATTTTCAGGTTTCCATATCCAGAACCTCCATATCTCCCGCCATATCTCCCGCTTCGGTGCATATATTCCCGCTTCGGTGCATATCTTCCCGCTTCGGTGCATATCTTCCCGCTTCCGGTAAGTAGTGGAAATGCAATAAAATGACTTTGTATATGAACGATATGTTTATTTTTACACCTTGTACTATTGAAATGGCCAAATGCCCCTGAAAACTCTACTTGGTATAGGATAAAGCAGTTATGTACGGTCGGTTTGGATATGGGGCTCATCCCTTGTGAGATATGCACATCTACCTTCGGTCCCTACGGTCCCTCGGGTAGATATGCATATCTCCCTCTGGATAAACCCCATATCCAAAATCTCCCGGTACATAACCCTTATATATACCAGCGAGTCATATGATATATATACCATGATACAGGTATATGGCTATGAGCTAAAACGGACAATAGGAAGTATTAGGCGTTTTCACACCAGTGTCTGTGTGCGAAATATACATCATATCACAATCACAAATGAATACGAACATAGTTGATAATCGCATATCCACCTCCATAGCATAAACTATATCCACCTTCAAAGCATAAACCATATCCACGTCCATAGCATAAATCATATCGTTATCAATCTAGATAATTAACCATTTAGATTGAACTTGATTATTATGTCTTTGTTTCAAAATTGGAAATAATGATTACTAAATATCCTAAGTTTTCTTTGGCCATTTGTTCTATTGATAAGATCATTTATAAGTGTGCCTGATTGGCTTTAAAGAGTGTTTGTATTCATAATAAATGGATTTTGAAATCGATAGACTGGTCTTGGATCGGATTATTTAGTTATCTAAATGCAGACCCTACTAGGTTCTAGGGTTACCGTGATTTGAACAAATGTTTATTTTGCATTAATGATCAAACACATTTTGCATTCGATCGAAATGTTTGATCATTAATGCAAATATGATAAAAAGTTGACTTTTGCTTGAACGATTCTAATTGATACAATCTCTGTGTCGTAGATATCTGTAAAGTAAAGACTCGTCAAAGTAATTATTGAATGATCAATCATGATTAAATGGCAACCATGACCTCTTGGTTAAATGTCACTACATGGTGTATGTGACAGTTGGACAGGTCCCCTATAGGAGAACTCCGACGAACCTCTATTTCTAGGTGCATATGGTTATCTGACTACAAGGTGGAAGTAATGAGGGTAGGCCAGGGATAACATGGTTCATATCAAGTTTTAGGTCTGCGAGTTAAAATGGAAATGAAAAAATGGGTGAGACGGGGAGAATGAGATGTGAGATGGGGAAGGAACAAGTTCTGGAGATATTGACAGGAATAGTGGAAATTAAATATATCGCGCGGGAACAAATAAGGGGAGATAATTAGGGCTATATGAAGGAAAGGTGAATAATAAGTTGGGAGGGTTTACGCGAAATGTAGAGGTACCTGTAGTCGACATTGATAACGATGAGGGGTTAAGATGGTAGGATGAGAGGGGAAAGACCGATGGCCGTATCTTATAAATCTCTAATCTGATACAATTTAATACAATTTTTATGATATGAACAAATTCTATTTAAAATATCAATGGATCGATTGTTTAACTAACGAACATCATATTCTCTCGATCAAGTTCGCACAAATACAAATGGGCACATGATTCTTTCTGGCTGTGTCATTTTTAATTTTTATGTATTATTCCAAGATCATTTAAATGGAAAGTTGAAGACGGCCACCAAGGCACTGACATATCGTTGAATAAAGTTGTCCAAAACACGCAAGTAGTGGTTAGCAGATTGCAATATCAATTCCTAAATATGTCATCAAAAGATGTCTACCTTGATAACAATCATTGGTTTTAATAAATACAGTATTTACATTCGCGATGGGGAAAAGATGTCATAATGGAGTTGGTAGAGTACTATCAAGAAGCTTTTTTATTTATAGATACAGATACTGTATAACAGATATAAATATTTGTTTGAAGGCATATCTTCTTACTTCTCGGCCATAATGACTATACAGTGGTTAATAAGCCCAAGGTGGGCTGGGTAAAATTGTAATTCATTTTTTATATTTTATAATTGAAATGTAAGACTGACCACTATAAATAAATAAATAAACTAAAACTATACATTAAAAGCACCGATATGACACTGTGTTCGAGATGTGATCGGAGAAGGACAAAACAACACACAGATGTTTTATATAGTTATTTTTTGAAAAATTATATGTGTACTGCAAAAATAATTTGAATACATATATGCTAACCCTACTATCACACCAAACTAGTTCTCACTACGTTCTCGAAAACGGGCTTCAACTGTGTACAAACGGACTGGACCTACTAAGAACCGTTTGGGATCTATTTACAAACTTCATCGAACGTACTCGAACGGGTAGGTCCTCTAGAACTTAGACAATGCTCAAAATGTTCTCGTGGTCGTCACGTTCTACAATTAGAACGAGTGACAACGTACTAACGACGAGCTGGACGTACTACGAACGGAACCGTCGTACTTCAATCCTACTAGGGACGTTTTAACAACGAGTTGAACTGTCTGAGGACGTGTTGAGAACGAGGTAGAACTAATTGCAAACTGATTTAAACTGATTAAGAACGTGTTTAACACTGCTTATGAACGTGTTAGCAAAAATATAGCTATCACACCAAACAAGTTGCCACTGCGTTCTTCAAAACTGGTTTTAAACTGTGTGCGAACGGAATGATCGTAGCTGAAACTTTCTAAGGTCTATTTACGAACTTTATGATCGTTCTCAGACGGGAATGTGATTTTGGAATTTTGAATCGATTCAAAGTTCGATGGCGACCATACCGTTCTGTAATCAGGTCATGTTGACCTTCTAGACTAAGGGACGCGTTCTACTACGTTGCACACCGACGTAGTGCGACCTGAACGAACTGCGAACGAGATGGACGTATTGAAGACTGTTTAAGAACGAAGAAGCTAATTATTTCAGACATATTTCCCGACCACAGCCAGATTGAGCCCGTTTTACGACGTTTTCGTAGGACTGGCAAGAACGGGTAAGAACTAGTTTGGTGTGATAGGGGGGTAAGCAACTTGTTGCTTCTATAAATAATGGTAAAACTTATAAAATGTTTAAATATTTTCAACAAAGCCCAGTTAGCCCAGATGTTCAGTTACCTCCTGTCCACCATTTCCACCAAAACCTGCTTTATATACCTTACACATGCATATCCAAGTATGGGATAAATATATACATGCATATCCAAGTATATCCCAGTAGCATTTACATATTTTGAAATTAGGATTTTCAAATTGTCCAGTAATTTTAGGCTATAAAGCACTTCTCCAAGACAATTTTATTGACTACTGTATAAGTGATTCTATTTATTTTAGGGCTTGTTTTCCATGTGGCTGGCTGAACTCTTTCAAGGTCCATCTTCTTTGTTTTGTAACACATTTTGGCCTTCACCTCAAATATGACGAATTTGGGATATTCATTGGAGTGAATTACTCTTCATGATGTTCGTAAAGTATACCAATATTTCTTTATCAGTATATTGCTGTAATGTTCAAAATTATTACCCCTTGCATTGTCTAAGTTCATACATTGCAAGTTGTCAACTACCTAATACCCTATATCATCTTAGACATCGTGTACCATTTCTGAAAAGCAAAATATGACAATGACTATATTAAACAATAAAGTTCATACATTTAGCAGTACTAGCTAACTATTTTAGCCTGTTAAATACAGAATCAGAACTACAGGGGGTGACAAAATTGCAGGCAACATGTACAACTGACCGTTCAATATATTCATTACGATCTCAAATATATCCCACAAAAGATCTACGATGTGTTATGAATTACAGACGCCGACCGCCGAACGACGTCCACAAAAATGGGAATGTGAATATTTCAAACATGAAACCGTTTTAAATGAGATCAGTGGTAATAGTAAAGTACAGTAAGTAACTACTACAAAGGCTAGATACAAATATTCCAAACATTGCTCCACTGCGCAATAAATACAGAGATCACATGGCCAGGAATAGTGTACTATGATTGGTTAAATAAGGTCACATGACCATGAATAATGATCCATAATTGGAAAACATGATTCTTACCCTTATACCAACTATACACCATACACAACAGCATCCATCAATGTCTTTGGCAATATGATAGCCTTGTCTTTGGTAAAGAGATATTGCGCGGTTACTTTGAGCAACATGGAGAGTCATTTTCTAAAAGAAAGAATGATGAAATATGTGTAAAAGGGAAAATCAATCACATTTGATCATGAGTCATATTCATATACTGATTTCTGTAGTTTTGATATGTTTAAACCAAAACTCAAACATTTAACTGGACTCGTGTTTAGAAAATGGAATATAGATAATGGAGGTGTTAGACATTCATTTGTGTGTTAGTTCATTTTTTTAATGGATTGTTATTTCAGTTCATATTTTCAAACATTGAAGATATTGAGTTTCCTAAAATGACTGGTATTGTTTTAATGTTGATTTTTGTAACAAAACAAAATATATTTAGATTTTTCATCAAGGCTGAAACAAAGACTACAGACAGATCGAATGTGAACTTTTAAACCCATTTTGAAAAATGTCTTTAGTATTTAATTAATACATGCAGTATTGTTGTTATGGGCCATCGTAGATCCCTTTATCCTCCTGATACTACATTAATTAAGTGTTACATTTTTCCAAAGGTGTTTTACTCACAAAGAGTCTGTTAGTTGTGAATTTTGGGCTTTACCATGCTCCACTGTATGACCTGTACTTACTGAACATCCTATTGCTTTTGCCTCTTGTTCTGCTCGTTCCATTAGGATCTTGCCAATCCCTTTGCCTCTGTGCTCCTTGTCAACACATATACATTCTATGTAACACTCTACTGGATCTATCGAAGCCGCGTTCTCCAGACAAATGTACCACAGCATACTGAAATGGAATATCAAGTGGAAGTGGATGTTCATGGAGTTTATTTGTCCCCCTCGCCATCTATCTTCCAGTAACACCACTAAAAATTCCTGTTTATTTTGGAGGGTCAATTTGGATGGTCACTATGCACATGGTTATTCAGCAATTCTACCTATTTTATCTATATTAATCGTGATTTCTCCCTGTTACTCACGTGTGACTTTTATTCGACTTACCCATGTGTGCTACGACATCCAAGTCTATCATAGAGGTCACACGTCGATGAACTCCTTCCTCTGAAAAATATTTTCCTCTGATAATAACTTTACTTGTTCAAAATATTTACAAAAGTTCACAAAAGTGATTATTATTTCATAGTAATGCATTCAAAGAATTTAACCGTAGAAAAAATTACATGTAAACCCCAAAGGCAAAGAAGCTGAACCTGGACATACATGTATTGCCTCGCTGTCATCGCAGTCCAGTCTTTAATAAAAAAAATTCAACTGGAAAAGCTGCAGCACTGCCCCCGTCAATATGAATGATATCAAAATTCTCTAAGACAATGGAGTACTTGAACTGTAAGCCAAATTGACTGAAAAGTGTTACTTCTTTTAGAATAAAGGAAAGATCATCGCAACTTATTCGCCACAGTATTTACTGAGTATAATTACTGGTGGAAGAGACAATTATTGGACACACCAATAAAGCCAGTATATTGAAACCAACAAAGAATCTAGTAAAAGAAACCACCCAGAAATCCATCCAGAAACGATCCAACCCAATTATAGTTCACCAGGCAACTCACTTATATCCATGGAATTTTAGGAAGAGCATCCCGGCACGTTTGTTTTTATATTCAGCAATAAAGATCCTACAGTTTTTATCATCTGTATCTCGATAATTATTCTGTCGTATGACGGTACATTCTTCCATTCTGGAAAAAGAAACGAGTTTGACATGTTTCAGATAAAAGTGGCCCTTTGTGGTATTTAGGATAACAATTTTGTTTCTTATATAATACAAGTATCAGTGTTTTGGTTCCTTAAAAAACATCGACCATGTATTTGCAGATTTGCTACTTTGCAAGTCGCTACGGAACATGATTCAACAACGTTTGCATTTACCTGTTCTTTCCTACCGCACATTCATATTTAGATCTAAACGATTCCACTTCCATTCTACCCGCAAAGTCAGCATCGTCCTCTTCCATAGCTCTTACAACATTAACATCAGACAATGTCGTCCCTGTGGTAGACTCATGTTCAGGTGTGTCACTAGATGTTCTTATTATGATATCATCCGGTGTGCTTCCAACCTGCTCATGATGTCCAAGTGGTTGATTGACAATAGCATTACTTGTATCTAAGGGCATCGTCCCCTGCAATGTAATAGCAACATAGACTCACTTGATTTATACAACCGAGGTCTGTTAAGGTACAGAAACTAGAGAATAACTTATGTAACCTTTTACATAACAGTGATCTTCGTTTTTATGTCACCACCAAAAAGTGGTGACATATTGTTATGATCTCCGTTTGTTTTTGACGGCGGTTGGCGATCGGCGGTTGGCGCTCGGCGTCTGTAACAAATTCTTACAACTTCCAATAACTTAACAAATACTGTTTAGACTGACTTCAATTTTTTTCAAAATCATCTACATGTTTCCAGAAGTACTTTCTGACTTTATATTTAAGATTTGACCTTTAATTACCTTTTCAAGGTCAAAAAAGGTCAAAAAGGTCTTTTTTCAACTTGCTTCAAATTAACCATTTTTTCAAATCATCTACAAGTTATCAGAAGTTCAAATCTTACTTTAAATTTGAGATTTGACTTTCAATGACCTTCTCAAGGTTAAAAAGTCAAAAAGGTATTTTTCAAATTGCTTCAAATTGACCAATTTATTTTTTCAAAATCATCTACAAGTTCTAAGAAATTCAAATCTGACTAAGATTGAACTCATAATATTGTAAGCAACAAGGTGGTGACATTTTGTCGTGTTAATGCCTTGTTTCTGAATTCCCTGATTTAAATTTAAATCCTAGTAAATGATTTGAAAATGAATTTGGACTAATTTGATTAATTTACGTCACCTATTAAACTGATAATATTCTAAATGTAAATGCTAAAAGTTAATTTGTGGACTTTGCCAAATTATTTTCTGTACGTTATTTTATCACCGATATTATTAGGAGGTTAAGTTATACGTTTTTAAGAGAATCTTTAAATATACATGAGTGCATAATGTTTCGACCCCCAGGGGTTACTGTCCCACTCTCAATTCACTTTAGCAGAGATCTATTTTCCACATACTTTTATCGGCCAAGTAAACAGTACAGGGAGAACAACTAGTAATCAACAGTAATTCTACACGATAATGTACATGTTTTAAAAAACGTGTATCTGAGCCTCCCTAATATTGATATATACAACTGAAAAGCACCAAGTGACGATAGTTTCCTAAAGTACTAAAGTACTTTTGATTATTGATACTAAGTGCTGAATATCAAACGTTATTTGAACATATAAACTAATCAAATAAAAGCAAGAAAAGCTACAGTAAGTATACAACTCAAAACAAATTAAAACAGCTTGTCACGAGACGGGATAATAGTGTTAAATTATGGAAAAAAATTACAGACACCGCGAATTGCCCAAAGTAATGTGACTATTGTATAATAACTAATAGGTCACCACTCTTCGGTGGTGATAACATAAGAATGCCCAGCGATCATCATCTTAACTGGTCAAGGAAAATTATCTTTTAAGATAACGAAGTCTTTGACTACCATACATTACAATAAAGGAATCATACCTGCTGTGGCCCACCGTGATCACTGGCCATCCTTGAACCTCAGTATACGTACTCTTAGTTACAGGTCTGTAGCCTCCTGATGTTGTTACTGTTGTGCTTGGCTTTGTTGAGAGACAACATTACTGCAAAAACGGAATGGGATAGTCTTCGAATAGTGCTTTTATGCCATACAGGGTGGGAGAAAAAAAACGTTTCTCGCCTTAACTCAAAATCAATAATCTAACTACTCGATAAAACCGAGGTGTTCTTATTTAATCGACCGGTATATATAGACTTATATTTAAGAAATCATTAGAAGGTGGGTGACATCTTTATAACCCCACTGTGTACTTATAAGTTGTAATCATGAATCAGCCTGATAAACATGATAAACAGCTGAACTTTGCAATAGAGCTATTCATACTCACCGGGACATGAATCATCTGACTATATTTTTTTCACTTTAAATTTAAACTGTGTACCCCAGGTACCTGCTGGTGAAAGTGCGAACTCACAAGAGCAGTATCGATGATCGAGTCCCTCCCTGGCGCATGATACTTGGATTCCAGAGTCTGTGAATAAACACCGAAAGGGAATCAATATTATGAACTATTTATAGACCCATGTATCCAACAGGGAAACATTACACAAATTCTGATTGGTGCATACAATCTTTCCCTGTCAGCTCTTGTTGCTAACCCAATCAATACCTTCATTACAAATAGTGAAGAAGAAAGCAGGCTGGGTAAATGATGAAGAAGAGGAAATATCCCAGAATGCATGACTGAACCAAAATATGAACCTCTTATCTCTAGACTGACTACTCTGGAGTTTCACTTTACATGGAGATTACAATCCATCTGAAATGCTATTAGTGCATTCCCCTTCGTGGGCGCCTACCATACTGTAAATGCAAAATACCTACTGCACTTTCGTGCAGGAACTCCAACGGCATGCCTGACACAGTGTAGCGACTGAGCGCATACGTGTAAGACTGTGTACCCCAGTATACCCCGCTTCCCACTATATGTGTAGGTACCTGCCACATGTTGGACACTGAGCTTAGAGACAACGGTGTGTCATAGTCTTCATGTAGTTGCACAAGAGAAACTACTCATAAATTGATGTGGCTTGCATGTAAGATGTAAGAATAAAGTTTGAGTGTACATGTATGTAGTATTTACAAAAATACTGGATACAAGGAGAATTCCCATGGGTGTTCACAAAGGGAGTGTCGTGACTGCTTACATAGACCCTCTACCGATCTCTTGTGGCAAGCTCGTACCAGCCCTGTGGTGGGAATTATAACACGTTCACGTATCAGTTCTCTTAAAAACGTTTAGTTTCACCATGATCCTATTTTATACGCATTAGCTAATAAGTGAGGTTGTTGTTTTCTGGCAATGTGATGGCATATGATAATGATTCGACGAGTGTTTAAGCTACATTATATTTTCGTGATATATACTTGAAAATGAGTCTTAACTTTAATAGATTTAATGAATTTTATCCAGTAATGGCATTACTGACAAAATGTCACCACCTGCAAATGGTTACAAAAGTCTAGGATGAAGAAAAGTGTATCATTTCTTACAGATGTTGTCCCTGACTGCCAACAACAGAAAAAATCATATGTGTAGGTCGGATTACCGACAAAGTTAGTTTCTTAGATGGTTACTATTTTGGTTCCTTCGTCATTCAAAAAGTTAAAGTTAGTTACCAAATTAGTTGCTAAGTTGGTTACAGTACATGCCGGTTGGTTAGTTTTTTTGTTCTTTTCAGACCTCGTTATATCTTTAGTGACTCATTTGACCTCCCGGGTTTACCTCAACTCCAAATCATTGAAGGTCAAATCTCAAATGTGGTCAATTTGCACAAGTTGAAAAATACCTTTTTGACCTTCGATATTTTGCTATGGTAACATGTAATGGCAGAAAGGTGTATTTTATGTTTATGTTATACCGGCCCACCACCAACCGCCGAACACCGTCCCCAAAAACTATGACTGAGACTATAACAAGTAACCAAATTCTGCTGCTGGTGACATAAAAAATGAAGTCGGTGACCACATGTAAGTCTTGCTTCAATACTCTGGACCCCCCCCCTCCCTCCTTATTTACTTAGTGTTGGCACTTGGTGAAGAAGGTAGAGGGAGGTTAACAGTCTTTGATCAAGATCGTTGACCTATGATATTTCTTTAAATTACTTTTGTCATATGAAACTTTCCAGTGTGCAGAAATTAATGAATTCTGCCTTTCATTTTTGAAAGTTAATATAACAGTCTCTTAATAAACTAAATGCAAGTAGAAATAATTCTTGATTTCCGTCATTAAAAATTCAAAATCCAGTCAAAGTGATATCGATCTGAAATCTGCATGTAAAAGTACATCTAGAAATGTGGTTTGAAAATGTGTTTATCAACTTTGAGAGTTTAATTTTCCCTGATGGTGAATCTGGTAACTACCTCTTCTATTCCCAAAAGAGGTATCAACAGGTGACTGGTCTAACTTCAAGTAAAATGCCGGAGAAGCTGGAGACACCAATTCGTTTTGTTCGATCATTGTTGGTTTCCCAAAAATACGTACATTGATAAGAAGATATAAGTCAACAAAACTTTTGAAATATTTCTCATACATTTTTATTATAAAACATCATATATCATTATCAATCATGTCAATGATAATTCTTATGTATATTTAAAGTATACTGTATTTTTACATAAATTGTTATCGAGAAAATGAAACATTTTCTTTCATTTGATAGTGTTACTGAAAAAAAGGAGTTCTTTGTACTCAGATCACAATATGGTTCTATCTCCAACTTAACATCATTTTTGCATGTATACGTGTGAGTCAAGACCTAGGAAATATACTACAGAATACAGTACAGTATACTACAGCAGTAGTATTAAGAATTCAGTTCATATAAATTACAGATTTATCTTTATACAAAATATAGTATTTACGTTTCTGGTGATGGTAAGGATGAAAATGAGTCTGATGATTATCTACAATGAAATTCTAATGACTGGTGTTCATGACTGGCAGTTGAAGTGAGTATTTGGTTATCCATCCATATACCACAGAGAGGTAATATGTACAAATTATTTATATGCATGTATTGTTATGCTTTTTGACCACGTTTATGGTTTAAGTTTTATGTAATCTATTTAACATCACATCTTAGCAAGTATACAAACTTGAAAACTCGAGGTGTGTACCACAATCACATAATTGTATAAATGTAATCACAATCATTTTAAAATCACAATAATGGTTACAATCTCATAGGTATAATCACATAGAAATATCTTGCCTGGTATCATCTTTGCACAAAAATATATGTCATACAATATGTCAAAAATGTCAAGATTGTTATATACACCATTTAAATCTATTATACCAAACTATATTGTATTCATAAATGTACATGTATAACGTATGTGAATTTGACGCCCATAATACTAGAATGTTTTGTAAATTAAAATTACTCCCTTGAGCATTGTCTTTTTACATCGTTCAAGTCTTTAACTTCGGTACATTCACTTTACCAGAGTCATTCGTAAAGTAAAAAGATTCCTAATTCAGTAATTACAACTATGGAAACCATGACATGACCCTCTAGTATAATCTTACTGCCTACTCAGTAGTTGAGTTATCATGATATGACATCATCAATATCATACGTCATAGTCTAGTATGCCATGGTTGATGCCCGAGCTAGTGCAATATTCTTGTAGTTAGAACTATTAATAGACCTGTAGAAGAGAAGTGCTTTGTTACTATGGTGACATGTGATATGGTGACATACAGATATTACAGGTAAATTGTGTTAATGTATCAGTAAGGAGAGGCTGAAGAAACCCTGGATAAATTAATACTAGATAGTAATCACTAGGTATAGATAAGGTACGTTTTGTATGTCTACAAAGCTATGTTTACAATTAAAAGTCTCTACATAAGGGAACAGCATACACTGTATGGCAAGAAATTAGTATTGGAATAATATGTCATGATCTACACATTTGATTTAATTCATTGTCAAATCAGTAAAGGAATGTAGAAAAGAGTCTTGAACTTGTATTTGTAAGTAGTATAAATAGTAATTGAGTTCAAAATTGTGTACAATTGTAAAACAAGTCAATACTTCATAGTACATATACTTATAGTAGAAAAGAAGTAAACACACTACAATTCAGTTGCATATTCAAGATTTTACAGTCAAGCAAAATTCCTTCTTAGCTACATGTAATTTCAGTCTTAAAAGATATTTGGCATGAGAAATCAGTCACAGAAGCAGAGTTCTAAATGATCACAAAAACTATAATTGGCACCTTCCTAGTAAAGCTTAAGCCAGATTGCATATGTATTAAGAAATACACAATGACTTCAGACAAAGTTCATTAGTATGACATCTTTTCCATAAATAGCATTATTAGTATGACATCATAATTAGTATGACATCACTCCAGTAACGGCCTTGTAATTCTGCTTGTTCATAGACCTAAAACGTAAGGGCAAATATAAGCAAAGAATTGAAATGGAGAAAATTCAAACATTAATTATGAATTTCTTATAGTTGTTTACCGTTAAAATATAATAAAGAAATTCATAATTAGTTTTGATGCCTCTCTTAAAAAATACACACACAATTCTAAGAAACAAAGTCAAGCAGAATCAAAAGAAAGACATTAATTTTATAGAAAATTTGTTAAGCCTTTTTTTTAATCATTATCTGATACATATTTATCCTTTAATTTATAATCAAATTAGTAATTAAGCTATAATTTTTCAAATGAAAATACATAGAAGAAAAGGGCATACAGTTAATAAACAGAAAATATTCATTCACAAATATATAAGTCTGAGAATATATATTTTTATTTATATATATATCTAAATAAATTCCAAATGATTATTGTTAAGAAATATATGACTTCTACATACCTATCAACATTGGTGTTGACCACAGACGACATAGGGAAGCTTTTGGGACCTGGAGATGGCATGAATATTTTTCCAGTTTTGTTGACTACATGCACAGGTCGAGTTATCTTTACATTGTAAGGATCTGCTGAATGAGAGGGGTAGGGGTCAAATGTTCCAGCCTTCATTCCTGCCATCTAAAAGTTAAATGTGTATCTTCAGAAAAATTCGAAATGGCTACAAGCAATCTTTTTAAATATATGTATTCAATTAAAAGCTAAAAATGTGACACTCTCAATGGATAAGTGACCAAGGTTTAATCTTTTTGATTATACTTTTTGCATGGCTACATTGAATGTCTATTTTTGCATTCCTTGTTGATCAGCTTGAACTTATGAAATGGAATAAAACTTTAAGAAATCAAACATTAGTTTCCCAAAAGCAAATAATATGAAGTCAAGCTACAATAAACTATAAAATTCTTATCACTTACAGATTTAGGTGGTGAGCTCTGTTTGAATGGTTTTACTTCTCTTCGTTTCCCTCCTGATGATTTCACTGGGGGTAAAGGTCTATCTGATCTGTAGGGGTTGGCGTCAAAATATGATTGTGCGTGCATGTTCAGTTTGAATGCACCACCTTTTAATGCTTTTCTATGATCTCCATTTATTTTCTGAAATAATAATTTGTTAAAATAATTCAGTGATACTACTGTATTTATGTATTATTTACCATTTACTATTGATATATCCAATGTTCATTGATATGTCCAATTCACTTATTAACATGCATGCATTACAATGATCTGTCAAATTGGGACACAAAAAATACTGTATATGTTCATAAAAATATTACATAGCTTGCTTTATATTTACTAAGGGGCAGATCATTTTTCAAAAAATCTTGAGAGGGTTTCACTTTTGACAACTTTGGCCCAAAATCACTTGAAAAGTGCTAAGGAATTCAGAAATAAATGGGAGTTTAATATTTATTTTGACCCCAGCGAAATTTTGGTATCATTGGAAAGCTCCAATACCATTCTTTAGGAATTCGATGAAAAAAGAATTTTCACTCAGGCCGTTGCTATGGAAATGGACGTTATAAATAAGATTGGTTCCCCTTAATCCCCCTGGCTATGGTGCACGGACCTGTATGATAATCATGGATTATGATGATGCCTATGTGCATGACCTGACCTACAGAGAACAGATATTTGACTTACTTTGGTTATTTGTTTCGCTCTGTCATACTCATCAGGCATGTGATTCTGGTATTTTCCTAAAGTTACACCTACATATCTGCAATGATAAAATGATTTCAATTAGTTTATAAGTCTAATTGTGCATCAATGCATTTTTATTTTTATGAAATTATTACATTGAAAACATTTTAAACAGTTATTTTTTCTAGACTTAATGGAATTGGAATTTCAAGATCTACTACAGTACAGTAGTAAAGCTATGGGGGTTAATAAGACTCATGCAGTCATGTACATACATGTATGTTATTTTACAAAAACCTTGATGTTTTCTTTGTTTTTGTTTATTGCAACACAGACTAGTATCGTGTTTGTTATTAAGAGTCTATATTACCATGGTGCAATCAATATGAATGATTGATCTGGCACAATATACATCTTCACATAACAAGCCTTTGTTTATTTGTCCAAAAATAAAAGGCAAACAATCAATTGTGTAGTAAATGTTCATTTTACTTTATAATTCATTTTTGCATTTTTCTTTCAATTCCGAAAAATTATAGGAGTTACTCACCCAAATCCAGTTCCTTTCTTTCCTGGGTTTGTTAGAACATTTTTTCCATTCCCTGTATTGCCTTTTCCACCTTTGGAGACTGGACTAAATGCTCCAATGGGTCCAGTTAATGTGCCATAGTGATTTCCTAAACCAGATCTACAAAATATAATGATTCCTTGTCATATAAAATAAAATATACAAAATAAAATCTGAAAATCTATTATTGATTTTACTAAAAACAATGAATCTCATTGCATGTACATCTATACAATTTTAATTTGAATGATAGACTGGAAAAAACGGAGGTCAATAATTATTCCAATAAAATGTTATTTTAACACAGGCCCGTAGCCAGGGGGGGGGTTCGATGGTTCGATGATGAGTGAACCCCGCCTGGCCAAAAAATCTTTCAAAATCATGCAGTTCTTCACCATTCTGAGCACTTTTTAAGTGATTTCGGCCTTTTTTGGACCAAAATTGTCACAAGTGAACCCCCTGGAATTTTTCAAAAGGTGAACCCCCTTGGCAAATTCTGGCTACGCGCCTGACACGTACAAATTGGGAATGTTGAGACTGTTCGGTACTTTTCTTTGGTACTCCTGTACAGTATGCATGCATGTATGTTCATATCCCATTCAATCCTATATGAACATGTACAGAACAGTACTGCAGTATGTGCAGTAAGTCAAAAGATTTTAGTATTTTTATGATAGATAAAATTAACTACTCTGTATCATGATTAACTCCTCGGTGATTGTCTTCATTTACACGTACCGCAAAATAAATGCTCACTGCTTATTCGAAATGACATTGAAGTGGCACGCAATATGAACTTACGGTTTTTTATCTCCATTACTAGGTAAGAAAGGTTTTCCAATATTTTTCTGAGACTCTTTTAATCTGTTTTGTCTTCTCCTTTTTATTGGGTCTGTATAACTTTCTCCTTCAAACACTCTGTTATATTTTTCTCCAAAGTATCCATGTTGTAATGCTGATCTGTCTTTAGTGCCTCCAGGCAGGACTTGTTTGCCTTTGCCAGCAGATTGGTTAAAACTGACTGAAAGTAAAAAAAAAAGTAAAATTTGAAATGTACAATTAAGTATACATACGTACTATATGTTTGTAGATTGAATTGTTTAATTATTTCAAAATTATAACTTCAAAATTGAAAGCAAAACAAATGACAACTACCAATCACAAAAGGCTTGCAAACAAAAGTTAGATCTAAGCCAACAGTAGAATCTAGGCCTAAATCTAGACTACTGTAAATCAACTTACTGCTACCAGGAGGAACGTATCTATCTCCAATGGTGTGGTAGTTCATTTCCTGGAAGAGGCCAACCCTCTCCATGTCTGTTTTATTAGACATAATGCTTTACTTTGATCTCAACACCAAAATGTGTAAAATCCTAGATCGAACTTGTTTTTTTCCTGATCTAAAAATCCGCGAAATTGTATAACTTTTTTTCAACTTCAACGCTCAATAACATTTGTCAGTCAACATTGTGTCTAAATCTGTGCAATCAAGTTTGTTCTTTTAATATTTATTCACAATATCCACTTGCTTCTTATAGTCCTATTAAGCTGATAACGATATTATATCAATAAAAGTGTCTGTGAAAAATATTTGTATTTCCACGTTTGTGTGTACAATTGCCATAGCGATCTACCCAGAATTCAACTCAACCGGAAGCTGTAAATTTACGCCCTCTTTTGACAGAAGCATGTACCCGCCATTTTTAAGATATCGAAAGTAAAGATTATCCAGTTTGCTTTATTCCTAAAGCGTTTAATTTCAGTTCTTGTGTACAGTATAAGTCTGGTACGTATCATCTTTAATTATATTCAAATGCTAATCGTTCTTTCAGCACGATACACCTAGAGTAGTCTAAAGAGATTTTTTACTGCCCAGTGCCGTTTCAGATTTCTCGATGGACCTGTCATCCTTTCTCAAGGGACCTGTCATCTTGTGATTTTCATTTGTTTCTGGTCTTTAGGGAACTAACAATATTTTATACTTGTGCAAGCTCAAATAAGACTTTCAAATAGAAAACATCAGATGCAATAAGTATCACACCTCCTTCTGTCTCACTTCGGGACAGAACTAAGAAAATTAGCCTGATACATGTATGACCGTGACAATGGTTGCAAGACCTGTCATGACTGTGGTTATGTTAAGCACAATATGACCTTGACAATAGTTGCAAGACCTGTCATGACTGTGGTAATGTTAAAGCACAATATGACCGGGACAATGGTTGCAAGACCTGACTGTGGTTATGTTAAGCACAATATGACTGTGACAATGGTTGCAAGACCTGCGGTAATGTTAAAGCACAATATGACCGTGACAATAGTTGCAAAACCTGTCATGACTGTGGTAATGTTAAAGCACAATATGACTGTGACAATGGTTATATCAAGTGACATTTAGTAGCATGAGAATACTGTAATGAAAAATTTCATTGTTTATCTACCTGAATATGTAAATCTTTAATCTAGACTACTACTACTCCTACTCATAATTCATTTCCACAAACTATAATTCTAATCTCATGTAAGGACGTGAACATTGTCACGGTCATATGAGGCTTTAACATTACCATGGTCATGACAGGCCTTGCAATATAATATAGCATTGTCACGGTCATATATCAGGCTTTAACAATTACCACGATCATGACAGCCCTTGCAATATAATATAGCATTGTCACAGTCATATCAGGCTTTAACAAAAAAGTTTGGACTTAGAGCTGTCTCTTGTATAGCAAGCGATAACATTTCAAATACTCTGACTGATACTGTCACCTCATTGGCCTCTCAGATTGCAATAAATATATCAGTGACATGTAATTACAGCAAAACTTTTAAAGTGGACCACCTCTGTTAGTGGATTCCCAAGACCAACTGGCTTGATGTAAATGAACCTCTATAAGTGGAACACCTCCAAAGCGGGACACTTTAGGGGTACCAAAGTTGTTCCACTTAGACAGGTTTTACTGTATATGTCTCTGAATATGCATTTTCAATAGAGGAGTTTCCCTAGCTTTGTAAGCTTGCCTATACATGTATTTGTAAGATTTTAAGAGTTTTGAATATTAGACCTCCAACGACTTACTTCATTAGCCAATTTGAAATCAGTGAAAAGTTGTCCACAATAATAACTTTAATTTATATACAGTTATGTTATTTAAATCATTTTCTATGACTTTTTAACTTTTCTCAAAAAAGTGTGGGCTGGCTAAATCTCCATTGATGCAATTATGAAATTCTTTAAAATCTTGGTTTATCATATTAATCACAATGTGTACATTAACAGTGTCATCCCATAGTATAGTTATTCGAGTATTAGACAGATTTGACCAACTATTTTTTATAAATCATGATATTATGTGAGTATTGTAAGTTTAAACATTGAAGCCTATGACAGTCTGGCCTAACCAAAACAAATAAAACAAGTTGTGACATCTATTTATTCGGCTTTATTCAGCTATTTAAGAAACTCCTATATTGACCAAAGTTTTTTAGTTACTCTCAAGAAACTCCTTACATACAGTGTACGGAAAGAAGAATTTTGATATGAAGCTGTGCTCATCTCGAGACAGCCACAACTATTTTTGGAGATCATACATGTGACACGTTCAGTTAAATCTCTTTAAAAATCTTTTAAAGATCCAAAAATTCAGATAACAAGGCTGACAAAGAATATCAGTTCTAAGAAACATCACTATACATACTCAGGGGTTTCATTAGCAGCAGGCAACAGGTGATTTTCTCCGGTTGTTTTCACAAAATTGCCTGTTGTTTTTAGGGACTTTTAACTTTTCCATGTTAAATTCATGATTTCCATTAATTTTGTCTGTTTTCATAAATGAATTAGCCTGTTGTGAGAAATTCTAGTTAAGCTCCTGCATACTACATTGGCACATTTTAGTTTCTATCATGATGAATCAAGGGCGTTACAATACCCGGGAATTTATCGGTTCGTCCAGTACTTGTTTGTGATAGCGCCATCTGTAGGTCACTGTGCTTATAGCCTACAGTAATACGGGGTAGGATATCGGGAATTCGGTCAGTTTCTATCCGTCGATTTCGCTATGAATTGAAGCAAGTGTGACCACTTTATCCACTTAAACAATTTGATAATTGATTAAATCTTTAAACAAAATCGATAAACACGTTATACACTTCCTATCTCCTTAGAAATTAGCATGTATTTATGGATTGTGTTTTCGAACAAGGCTCGACCCACCCCAATAGGGAAATCCTTATGCTAATTAGTATGACGTCATATTTTCCTGGGGAATCCTAGATTTCAAGGCCTCAGTCTGTTATTGTGTCAAATGTAAACGCTCTTGGGACGCTCTTTTGCAGACAGAAAATTGACAGATTAGCTTTTAACTTTCAGCTTTGATGTTTAAATATTCTGTATTTCTACCGGACTTCTTGCTGAATATCATATAATGTTATAACTTGATTTGGATCATTGCCTGATTGATCATTCTGAAATTTTGATTGTGATTCATGATTGATTGGCAAGAAAAATAATTCCTATTGTTTTCCAGCGAAGTCAAAATGTTACAGCATGAGTTATAATGTCGAGTTTGCATCATGTTAAATTCTGCTAGTGATTAGAAGTCCATGCACAAGCATACACATAAGAGACAAACACACCCAGGCTCCAGGCCGTGGATGGAAATATAAAACTATTTAAGGCACAAACTGGTATTAATAGACCGATATGTAGTGTCTGCCATGTATTGAAGGTAAACCAATCTGTATTATTAATGTTTCTTCTATCAATACATGGGTTGTGCAATAGAAAAGCAATGGCACAATCAAAAATGTGCATATCAATCGTGAATATCTCTCGGTTCAAAGCTTATTTCCAACAGAATCGTGTCAAAATATGTGTCTGAGTAACAGTTATACATTATAAGATCGCAAACTCTTACCAATTATCAGCCGAATGGCTCATTTTCAACGAAATGTCCTTAAGACAATAGCCCTGGGTCGCGCCTGAGACCAAAAACTACTTCAAATAGCCCTCCCCTAATTATATTGGATAATCACATTTATGCGTGCGCGCGCAGCTCATCCAATGAACGAAACGCCACTTCCCGCTGAAATCACCGGGTATTGATCTTTCCCTTGGATGAATTTGTTAAATGTGATGTGTATGTCACCATCTCCAACTTTTATGTGGATGATGTTCAGTGGTTGGCATTCTAGTTCTGAGCTCAGTAGTTGATGTTTGGTCTGTCTATAACAGATGGTTGTTGGTGATATTTTGCATGTAATGCCTTGTTAAATGTTGACATTGAATTTGCCCAATATAGTTTCTCATTAAGCTTATGTTTCTGTTCTGCAGGTCTCACAATGTCAGATGATGAAGATGTCCAGGAATCCAGAAATGGAAACAAAGAAGTCATGAAAATTCTACTTGCCACAGACTGCCATCTTGGCTACGCAGAGAAAGATGCAATACGAGGGAACGATTCTCTCGTCACATTTCAGGAAATCATGCAAATCGCTACTGAACAGGAAGTTGATTTTGTACTTCTAGGTGGGGATTTATTCCATGAAAATAAACCTAGTCGAAAAACTTTACATGGCGCGATGGAAATTTTACGGAAATATTGTATGGGAGATAGACCGTGCCAGGTTGAATTTCTGAGTGATCAATCAGCGAATTTTAAACAGAGTAACTTTCCTGTTGTAAACTATGAAGACCCCAATCTGAACATTAGCATGCCTGTATTTTCAATTCATGGAAATCATGATGACCCTGCAGGTTTCGGGAACCTGTGTGCTTTGGATATGCTACACACAGCTGGTTTGGTGAATTATTTTGGCAAAGTCACTTCCTTGGAAGAAATAGAAATCAGCCCTTTGCTGTTGCAGAAGGGCAATATTAAGGTGTCGATACATGGACTTGGTGCTCTAAGAGATGAACGTTTGCATAGACTCTTCACGCATAAAAAAGTCAAGATGCTACGGCCAAAAGAGGACCAGGAATCGTGGTTCAACATGTTTGTGATTCATCAGAACCACGCCAAACATGGCCCAACAAATTACATCCCAGAGCAGTTCCTCGATGACTTCTTAGACTTGATTTTTTGGGGCCATGAACATGAGTGCCTCATCGAACCCCGTTGGAATGGTGAACAAAACTTCTATGTGACACAACCAGGGAGCTCAGTTGCTACATCTCTAAGTGAAGGAGAAATGAGGCAAAAACATGTAGGACTTTTAAAAATTGGTACTGACAGAAAATTCAAGGTTCAAAAGCTACCACTCAACACAGTGAGGCCGTTTTATTTCCAGGATGAAGATCTGACACAATCCTCTTTAAATTTAGATGACCCAGATATAAGCAAACAGACTGAGGTTTATTGCAGTGAAATTGTTGATGAACTGTTAGAAAAAGCAGGTAAAAATAAATGTATTTAGTAGAGAACAGTGATTTTCCAAGCATGGAAGGAACTAGGAACCATTTTGTGATGATGATTTGAGATTTCGGAAAAATTCAACATTTTTAGTGTTTCAGATGTTAGTGATTAGTGTTATGAGTGATAAGAATTTTCTTCCTAGGTCAGTAAATATCCTTTTTAAAAATCATCCAATTTATTTTTGTCTTTTTCCGCATTAGTCATCATTGGACCTTTCTAGATCAATTTTAAATTTACAAAATGATATATCCATATGAGTATCATACATGTAGTACATGTATGTACATAGTTTAGTTTTATTTATTCTATGTCACTCATTATTTTGCACATTTTTTTTAGAAAGAGACCACACAGGCAACCCTAAGCAGCCAAAGCAACCTCTGATACGTCTGAGAGTTTTCTATAAAGAAGGAGAAGAGACATTTAGTACACAAAGGTATTCTGGAAAATATTAATTGCAGTGAAACCTGTAAAGTGGAACACCTCTAGAAATTGAACACCTCTGTTAGTGGAACACTTTTAGAGATACCAAAGCAGTTCTAGTTATACAGGTTTTACAGTATTTATCACCCAGAATTCAAATGCATAGGATTTCTAACAAAAGTTTAATTCACAATATTATCAAAAAAAACATTTTGAATTTTATTTTAAAATGCTTTCTAGATCTTTGGGGTCCCCCAATAATCCCAGGATCTAAGATTGTTTGATTTCAATTTTACATATTTCGGGTAATTATCTGAAAATTTATCTATGATAATCTTAGATGAATTGTAGGATTGTATAAATTAATCACCGCTGTTTGATGAATTTAAAGATATTTAAAGTTTTTTCAATCTGCAGATTTGGCCAGAAGTATGTGGACAGAGTTGCAAATCCAAAAGACATCATTGCATTTCATAAAAAGAAAATTCCAAATGCTGATAACAAGGACAATATCAAGGATGGTATGTTAACTACACTTCCTTTGATTATGAAAACTTAGTCCTTTGATATAATTCTAAGAACCAAAGAATTTTAAGAATATAACATTATGTTTATTTGTTGCATGTAAGACCAGTCTGGAGAGTGTTCCTTGTTCGCAAGTTTGAAATGAAATGTGCAGTTCACCCACTGCTTGCTAATATGATATGGCATACACAGTGTATGTATTATGTAATCTTTAAGCTTTATATTTTCAAATGTTTGTATCCATTTTAGAGTTAGATATGGGCAATATGAGACCAGAGGCTTTGGAGACTGCAACTATGGATGATTTGGTGAAACAGATCATGGCAAATGACAAGGTGAGAAGTTGTCAAATACTCTTACTATTCCTAATCTTTTTGCATTTGTAAAGTTCTTCAAGGTTGCCACTGTTTGGGAGAAGTAAAGGAATTTCCATCCATCTGTTCCAGGGCTCTCACCAGGAAATATTTAGGGTGCGGTTCTAACATCTTCAGAATAACCATTCAGTTGTGATAAATCGTATTTATGTTATGTTTTATCCTTTTTACATGCTATTATTGTATATTCAATTTAGATTGTGGAAACAGTCATAATTTGCCAATAGGGTGTGGAGGGAGCTGAGTAGAGTGTGCTGCTGCGCCACAGTCTAAAAGCCTGGCGAGAGCCCCGTGTTCTTCACTGATATTTAAAATTATGATGTGTCTAAACCAACAATCATATCCAATTTTTAAGGTGTCACTTCATATGCTCAGTATGCTCCTCAAAAGAGAGCGTTTACTCTAAAATGTGATTGTTCTTCCAGAATGGTGCACTTAATGTACTAACTGAAAGAGGGATGGGTGCCGCTGTTCAAGAGTTTGTAGATAAAGAAAACCGTGATGCCATATCTCTAATGGTGGAATGTCAGATCAAGAAAACAAAAGAACATTTGAGGAAAAAAGATGCTAAAGAGGACCAAATTGATAATGAACTTGAGAAATTTAAGGAAGAGAGACGCAATAAAGCACAAGAAGCCGAGGAAGTCAAAGAAGCATTGAGGTATGTTAGTCTGTATACTGTATGATGGTTCACATCATTATCCCATCGAACGAAGTTCGGAGGGATATAGGGAACGCCTCCGTCCGTCCATCTGTCTGTCCGTGCAATAACTCAAATACCATTGGCCCGATTTTGTTCATATTTTGTACACATATACCCTATGGGGGTAGAAGTTCTGCTTGAAAGCCGATTTTCAAAATGGTCGCTCATCTAAAAATGGTGGCCATTTTAGTGCCGATTTTACAGTAATTTAGATGCAATATGTAAAACTGTAATAGCAATATGTTTTAAATAAATCCATTTACTGATTGAACAACTGTAACATCATTGACAGGGGAAGCTAGAAGTTCTATATTTTCAGAAAGATGTCGCAGAGTTAAATCTTAGCATTATCAGACAATTCTAATTTTAGTGTTACTATCAAGTTTAAGGCATCTGAAGCAAATGTGTTTTTGGAATTTAGTCAGTAAGGGATGTTATCTTATTCTCAACTTTTGAAAAATAAGGAGGTTAGGGGCAAGGAAAAAATAAATGTTTTTTTTGTTAATGTACATGTAAAATACTGATTTTTGACCTTTGGAGATGTTGAGGCTTAAATTTTGTTTAGTGGTTAGAGATCTGAGGTTAAGTCTGGGAGTTGTTTTTGGTAATTTTGTCTAGAAAAGCTTTCTTCAACCACTTGTTCTTGGAGCGCACTATATGAGATTGGAGATCTGTATGTACATGAACTATAAAAGTTCAGCAATTGGTGTTTGGTGATTTGTGTTTGGTTTGTTAGTGTTGGCATTCAATATATGTAACAAAAATTCTAATATTTTCCACATCGGAGTTTTACATTTGGACAACATCCCTGATAGGGTTCAAGGAAGAGGAATAACCTAGTTGTTATTTCTGTTCTTTATTCTCTTCTGTATTCAAGATAAAGAACTAATCAAGGTCTAATGAAGCTCTATCAATAGGTTGTTGCCCAAAGACGCAAAAGTGCAGGACAGACTGACACGTAAATTAGTGAATGAACTTTGTTGCTGAAATGTTCTCATCAATTTCAGGGTCATGTATTTAATGGGATTGATCACATATTGGACATTTCACCTTGGAACAAAAATAAAGATTTTAAAGCTTTTAAAACAAGGCAAGAATGGTTTTTATGTTTTTCTGTCTTCTTTGGTGTTTAATAGCCATGATGAAGTATAGTTAGAGGTAATCGATTACCTTGTGACAGCAGAAAATAACAATTTTCCAGGGGCAGGAGTTTAAGCTGATTAAGAGCACATTCTAGTAATATCTCTAATGAATGCAAAGATTACAAATGGCCTTGTAACCACCTGGATCTATCCTAATCCTCTTGTATTAGATAGCATCTTAATATTTTTTTCACAACTCATACAGATAACATATGGATACTCTATTGAGTCTGGCACTACTAATTTCTATAAATGAAATTTATATTCTTGCCATATGGTGTCAGAAATGGCTCATATTTCAACATATACATTTGATTACTGGATCCAATTATAGAGAGCACACCTTCCTTAGTTCCTCGCATTTACAATATACTACACATTTTGTGGATGTATTGTATCTATTTGTATCAATGGCCCTGCAGCCATATTTCATCTTCACATTTTTCAAAATACCAAAGGTCCCATATATATCGGGTGTCCAAAAAAAATTAAACAATTTTTTACAACTGGTGAACCAAATTCACTAAAAATTTGTACATAGTAGCCTAAGAGTATCATTACCAAGTTGTAAAAATATAGAAAAGATTGAGTAATTATTAGTACTAAGAAATTCAAAATAGCATGCAACTAGTCAAAAATGCCCATACTAGAGCCCTGCCATGAGACCTCTCTAGTGTTTGTACCAGCTATCAGGTGACAGCATCTGTCAATCAGTCAAAATAGCTTGTCTTTGTGTCTGTCTAATATTAATTCATTTCATTCTTCCCAAATATCCCCAAATCCATTCATTCTCAAAATGCATTGGAAGTGATATCGTTAGAATAAATATGGAAAGGTATTTTTGCTTCGATATGGATTGATAAGTGACTTTGACAGTGATATTGGTTATTTTGATACTGTTTTTAATTCAAAAATACACACATAATATTAGGCCAATCTCTTACATATTCATAGCAATCAGCAGAATATACCCTGAAATGCCTCAAGTTAAGGTTTTAAAAGAATTTGGCTCATCTGTTGCTGAGAAATTACTCGTCAAATTGCTTCCCATTTTTTAGTACAAACGCTATTCCCATTGCATTCCTCCAGATTTATTCTTTTTCATATTTTTATACCTTGCTAGCGATACTCTCGGGCTACTCTGGATAATTTTTCAGTGAATTTGATTCATCAGTTGCCAAGAAAATACTTGTCAAAAAATGTCTCATTTTTTGGGACACCCGATATAAGACATCAGCTTATAAAATTTGAACCAAATCCAACATACAGTGTTACATTTATCACTCAGACATATTAATAAACAGATAGATTCTTTATATCCCTACTCTAATTTTGTTCATATAGATAGAGTATTGATTCAAATATATGAATTGCAGGATATCAAGAGAGAATAAAGCAAAGGAGGGGCTTAATGACAATGGTGACAATGATGAAGATGATGACAACAGTGATATAAATGAAATACCTGAAGCAGCTAAGAATACAAGGGGTCGTGGCAGGGGCAGGGGAAGAGGTAAGACTGTATGGTGCATGCCCTGGGGTGCATTGTCAAAATGTAAGGGCTTGGTAGGGGTTGGGGTAAGAAAACAATACAATATACATGTACATGTAAAAAGCGAATATTTTACACCACATTGGGACGGTCAATAGGAAGGAAAAAAGGATCTTGATGTCAGAAGCAGGGATTTCTGCATAATATGTATGATTAGTTGCTCTGAGCATGCCATAAATGTACAGAACTTGCGCCATTAATTTCACTCCTTTTGTTCAAGAGTTTATTTATTTGACTATTCTGCAATAAAAGAACCAATAAACCATCACTAAGCAATTTCATTCTGGTGTTAAGGCTCAAGTAACTTCATGACCATATACTATGTTAAAGGTTTATGTTACATGAGCATCGATTTAATATAACATCTTTGGGATGGTGCCCACTTATCAACAGTTATGGAAAAATTAAATTAATTTTTTTTATTGTTTGACCCCTCCCCCTCATCTAACAAAATTTCAAAATGTTGATTTTTCACTTGAACATTTAAAGAAAATTTACTCGAACCCCCCCCCCCCCCCCCCCCCGGCTACAGGCCTGATATAAGACACCATCACTCACATAATATCTTATAAAATGTTTGTAGGTTCTAGAGGTGGGCGTGGCACTCAAAGTAGCAGAGGTCGTGGGCGGGGCAAGCAGGCAGTAGTAGAAGTGCCAGATGAGAAGAAAAGCATGTCTATCAAAGATGCATTCTCTAGTCAAGCCAAGTCAAAGCAGAAGAGTAATACAGATGTTATATACTGGTAAGGGCATAACTACATGTAATATAGATGTTATATACTGGTAAGGGCATAACTACAGTACATGTAATACAGATGTTATATACTGGTAAGGACATAACTACATGTAATACAGATGTTATATACTGGTAAGGGCGTAACTACCTGTACATGTAATACAGATGTTATATACTGGTAATGGCGTAACTACATGTAATACAGATGTTATATACTGGTAAGGGCATAACTACATGTAATACAGATGTTATATACTGGTAAGGGCGTAACTACAGTACATGTAATACAGATGTTATATACTGGTAAGGGCATAACTACATGTAAGAGCAAGGGTACATATCAAAAATATTTTTTTGAGAGAGGTTTCTCCCACAATGAAATTAAACAACTGTTTCATAACAATCATTTCATACACCAGCAATGAGCAATGATACATTACAGGTACTGTTATGACAAGTAGCTTCTGATATGATAGGAACATATTGGATGAAAACTACAATCTATACTTATCCAAAATTGAGATAATCTTGATACTCTGTTAACATCTTACCCTGATACTCAAGTCGTTATCAAGTAGATTGGTTTAATTATTTTTTCTGTTGAATGATTGTCATTCTGACATATTCAGAGTCAAGATACGTATGTAACTTAAAGACAAGGCGTAATTTCTGTTGGCGACTTTGTTTCTGAAATGTCACAATGATAATGTACAATTTGAGCTCTTCTATTACATGTCGCAGTTTGATACTTTAATGTTTATGTGGGCATTTTTTATTAGCTTCATATTTACTTGCTTGATTAATCCAGAAATAGAATCCTTTTAAGTGTTTAATGCATGTAGGTATGAACTTTCTTAATTAGCGCAATTTATATCAATGCAGTCTTACATTTCATGTCAACACGACAATTATTTATTTTCATTCATTCAAATTTGGATATCCATCCCCTAAACGAAGTGATAAGCCAAAATCTAGTGAAATTGATGAAAGACGATTCTGCCCCAAAAAATTCCTTTTTGAGAGTAGCTTGATTTTGGCGGTCAGTTTTACATGCTGACATGATGACTTTCAATTTTGTCAGCCTCTATATCTTTTTATATTATTTGTTTCAAATGCTCAAGGAAAAGACTTAGTACTGTAAACAAAACAGTGAGAAAAAAAGAAACATTTACAGTAAGTCCCTAGAGTAAAACCTATCATAAGGAAAAAAACAAATATCTCAAACTATGATCTCATACAATGTATGTAAAGAAACAATGTCTTATACCCTGTCCCCCTCCTCTCCCATAGATTCAGGAAGCATTTGGTATTATGCATTATTTGTTGTATAAAGTTCTTCATTAAGTCAATCATGTTTACATATGTCAGTCTGCCCGAGTTGTATTCCTTAATAATTATGTTGTTATCTTTATTAGGTCCCAGTAGAGGCTAGATAATATAAAAATACATCTAGACACATGCATCAATGTTCTCAGTTGGAGACACCAACTGCTCTAATTTGCATAAAACTGCTTTGATCAGAAACAAGACTATAAATTGTGCTTGACTCTTCCATAAAACTGATAAGTTATTGAGCAACTGGGAAATACAATCTCACAATGCAAATGAATTTGAAGTGATAAATATTTTTTGACATGTGGATTTATGAAAGGGGTTCGGTCAAAATGTCAATTTTAACACCGCTCAAATGAAACCCGATCACGGAAATGATTAAGACCAATCTATCCTCTTCAGTAAAGCTTATGGTTACTTAATTAAAAAATGAAGCACTAACTACAAGTATTTCATATTTCAAATATACATGTAGGGTGCAGTCCCTCACCTAAAACAAAAAATTTCTTCCATTTAAAATGGAAAATCAAGAAATTTTTCATCAGAGACTGTGGTCCCGATACTACAGTGTGTCTCAAAAAAAATTGTTACACTCACAAAAAGTTTTTCATAATTTTGACTTTTCCCTTAAATACACTTTGGATATGAAAAGACAAATCTTTCTCAAATAATTTGACACCATCAAATTCAAAATCTGTCATTGATTGGCTCCACATGACAGCGTTTAGTGTCCCATGGTAAAATCAAATGTTGTCCGTCCATCTGTCCATCCGGGAGTTTTCTCCAAAACTGCTACAGATATCACCTTCAAATTTTCAGGGATAACTTATGAGTGCATACAGATGTGGATGAAAAAAATTTAACTCGATACCTACTTCCTGTCGGCCATTTTGAAGTCAAATGCTAAAATCCTTGTCTGCAAACTTTAAGAAAAACGGCTTCACAGTTGCTTTTAAAACTTTAACATCTTGTTCATGGGTTCAGCTCACTTCATTCTACATCTGATTAGATTTTGGACCTGTTAGCTCAGTCATGTCAGCCATGTTGAATGTCTTAAGAAATGTTAGCGCGCAATAATACTTTGTATAATATTGAATGGTGTTTTTGAGTTTTCATACTCTAACTATTTAGTAGCTTTATAAATAATTTCAAGTGTACTTTGTAGTAAGAGCCTATGTTATTGTTAACAGTAGATATATGTGATAATTTTGTAAAAGGAAATCAGCAAAAACTCATATTCACTTTTTTATTGTCGGCCATTTTGGATTTTTCCATCTTAAAATCTTGTCTGTAAAGTCTTGTCTGTGTTTTCAGGTGAACCATTTGGTAGATCAATTTCAAAGTTTCAGGGATGATTCTTAGTATGAAAATCTAGATCTGATGAGTTTTTTGGCATTCTGGGTAAATGTCAAGGCAGCCATTTTGGATTTTTTGTCCTAAAATCTTGTCTGTAAAGTCTTGTCTACGCATTTCCAGGTGAACCATTTAGTAGATCAATTTCAAATTTTCAGGGATGATTCTTAGTATGAAAATCTAGATCTGATTAGTTTTTTGGCATTTTGGATAAATGTCAAGGCAGCCATTTTGGATTTTCCGTCCTAAAATCTTGTCTACGCGTTTTTAGGTGAACCGTTTGGTAGTTCAATTTCAAATTTTCAGGGGTGGTTCTTCGTTTGAAAATCTAGAACGAACTAATTTTTGGGCATTCTGGGTAAACTTTAAGGTGGCCATTTTGTATTTTAAATTGTGTCTGTAAAGTCTTCTCTACTCATTTTTAAGATAACCATTTGACGGGATCACCCATTGGTGGGGACATTTTGTACACATTTGTGTTCTTGTATGTACTTGGTAATGTCTGATGATAGCCATAATAACTAAATAACAATCAATTATTCTTTGTTTGACATATTTTAGTGACGACTCGGGTGAGGACTCGGATAATCCGTTTAATAATACAGGGAGAACGTCAGTGTCATCACGGAGTAATCAGCCCTTGGGGTCAGGGGATGCAAAAACCACCCAAAGGAGCAGAACAAATGGCCAGAGACCCACCCAGAAGAAAAAAGGATTGACATTTGATGATGATTCGGATGATGAGGAATTTATTCCAAAGAGGAAGCGAAAAAAGTGAAAATCTGTTATCTTTTATATTTCAAGAAAAAACACTACATAGAACTGTTACATTTCACGGATATAGGGATTTAAGTAGAATGGATAATTCAGTTATGCATAAGGTGGTAAAAATGAAAACCCTGCATTTTCCTGCATATTTCTCACATTTGTACATCATACTATTTCCTACCATCCTACAAAAATATGATAAGCTGATATAAAATTAAATGATGTACAAATGTGCTAAATATCAGGGAGTTAATTCCCTAAAATGATGCTGGAAAATAGCAGCAGGGTTTCCATTTTTTGACCACCCTGTACTTTTTATCGTATTACTAGGAATATTTGTATTCATTTGTAATAAGAAGCTTATTTGTTGTTGAGCTTTAACTTAAAAGTGCAAATATAACAACATGAACAGAATCTTGTACTTTGTTTTCAGTGTAAACACTTGAACACCTTAGCTTAATAATATTGCTATTAGAGAGATAAGATCCTTTGATGCCTTACGTCAAATGAGAATGAATAGAACATTATAGTACATCAATACGGAAGCGAATTAAAGTGCTATTTATGTATAAAAATACAAATGTTATTTTAGCATGGGACAATGCAATGTTTGGCTTTGTTTGCAGGAATATTTTAAGGTATATGTGCTAAAAGTACATGTACATGAAAATGGTTTTTGTTGGTGTGCCATATGAACCCTCTCTGTAAGAAACACACCTTTATAAGGAACACCTATCTGTAAAGAACACCTCTCTACCAAAATAGTACCTTCCAGTACAGAGTGTTTTCTATACATATGTTTTTATCGTACCTAACAAAAGGTCGATATTGTTGTCAGCTTGACGGGCGGGCAGGCGGCGTCTCACTTTTCAGCTTGTCTACAGGTTTCCAGCCAAACCATTTGAGGGATTCATCTGAAATTTTCAGGGATGTTTCCACATATCAATGTCAAGAACTGATAAGTTTTTGGGCATTCTGGGTAAATCTTAAGGTGGCCATTTTGGATTTTCCGTCCTAAAATCTTTACTTTCAAGACTTGTCAACAGGTTTCCAGCCAAACCTTTTGAGGGATTCATCTGAAATTTTCACGGATGTTTCTACATATCAACGTCAAGTTTTTGGGCATTCTGGGTAAATTTTAAGGTGGCCATTTTGGATTTTCTGTCCTAAAATCTTCACTTTCAAGACTTGTCTACAGATTTTCAGCCAAACCATTTGAGGGATTCATCTGAAATTTTCAGGGATGTTTCTACATAGCAACGTCAAGAACTGGTTGGTTTTTGGGCATTCTGGGTAAATTTTAAGGTGGCCATTTTGGATTTTCCGTCCTAAAATCTTCACTTTCAAGACTTGTCTACAGGTTTCCAGCCAAACCGTTCAAATTTTTACATATGTTACACAGTGATAAGTTCTAGAGCTGATTAACTTTTCTGCGGCCATGTTGCTTTCTTGGTCAACAAGACCACAATGCTGTGTTTTAGGTACGATATTGTTCACGTCTGTGCCTTGTTTGAAGTTTGAGATAAAGAAATTGTATAAAAATGTACAATGATCAGCTTATCAACAAGAAGTTCTTTGATACAGTGAAAGCTGTGAAGTGGACCACTCAAAGAAATGGAACACCGCTGTTAGTGGAACATTTCAGTGTCCCAAGACCAATTGACCACATGTTACATGAACCTCTATAAGTGAAACATCTCACACGTGGAACACTTTGGACCCGGTGTAAAAGGGTATGAGGTCCAATCAAATTATGGTCCTACTCTCCGTTGATTTATATGGTGACCTAAATACAACTCTTTCCCTCATTATCATTATCAGGACCAGTAAGAGCCGTTAACAAAGGGGGCCATAATCCCTGGGGGACCATCATTTCTTTCACACCGTGACTTTGTATTTATCAAAGGTGTTCCACTTAGACAGGTTTCACTGTACATAGTTAAAAGCAATACCTCTCACACAATATCCGCTTGTTAAGCTTAATGCATTCTTCTGTTCTTTCTTATTGCTTAAGTAATCACAGAATGAAAAATAAAACACTCAAAAGATAAATATATACTTTGGTCTTTGGGGTCAAGGACCCGGCAAGTATCCCCATAAATGTGGGGTTGATTTTCAAATCACCCCCATATGCTTGTGTATTGAAATCTTGCAGTTAACAAACATTGTCAGTAGTTAACACAAAGTTCAATTTTATCTAAATAACCACGAATCCAACTTATTTTCAACCCAAAGATTCCAATACACTAGTACATGTAGTTGTGGGGTGATTTGAAAAATCAGCATTTGTGGGAGTACTGGAGGAAACGTATCATCCAGAACAGAAATTGAATTCAGTGGTTGTTTGAGAAGGAGACCATGTGCTGCTATAATGGATAGAAGAACTTATTTCATGTCTTGGATTACATAATACATAAATGATTTTCTTCGAAGCCATTAGACCATTTCATAGCATTTTAGAGACGACGGCATTATATTTATGTACACGTATACCCACACATGTTTCTACAGGTTCTGTTTGTGGCTGAAACTTAATCAATTGTAGCATTTTAAACCAAATATATTAGGGAAATTATCAACAAAATCCATAATTAATCGAAGGAGACGTCCACGGATATTAACTGAAAATAAAGAGAAATGTCAAGATTGGGGGAGGGGTCAACCCATTCCCGTACTCCCTTATTCTGCATTTTAGGCCACAAAATGTGTCATAGTACATAGTACATGTAAAAGGGAAAAATTTAGATGCAGTAGGAAATTGTTTTAAAGTAGAAGAAAAATATTATACATTGTACCTTAAAGTTGGGTTTAGGAAAATTCAACACAGTCCGCCAAATATTTTTTTCGTTTATTTACTAGCATCATTATAATATCACAGAGTACACATTTCTATGTATGATCTGTAAAATGAAGCCCTCTAATTGGTCAGTTTTTGTGCTGTATCGATCTGTATTGCTACTGATATACGTGTATTCTGCTCTCGATATTCTGTATTAGCACTCGACTTCGTCTCGTGCCAATACAGAATTTCTCGAGTAGAATGTATCCTGTATTGCACTTCAAATCATTCAATAACTTATAAAGTTGAACAAATTTTAACTAGTACTTTAAAATAGTTTACCACATTGTACGAGTTCCATTTACCGACTTAATAGTTTTCCAACGATTTAGTTTGAAGCTAGAATATCGTTTGCATTCAACGTTTTCTAAAATGAGGAAACGAAATGCCCTTTCTTCGTGTTCTTGTCCGAAATTAAAGAGTGACTTCAGTGCAACCCATGGTGTAAAGCATCCGTAACAGAAACGTACATTTCTGTACTGTCAAGCACTTTATAGTTTGCACAGTAAGACGTCAGTCAAATGACTGTCAGGAGAAAACAACAATACAAAAGATACACCATATACACCAGATCTTATTTATGGTGTCCTTGGAATACCCATGGGCTCTATCAGGTGGTAGAGCCCATGGAATACCTGAAGCTCACGGACAGTCAATTGTATAAGTAATGTAATATGTCTGTACGTTCTTTAATGCGGTATGATTAGAAGGACACTGCTATATTTACTCGTGTACTCATGCGAAACACAAAATGTTATCTAAAACATTATTCGACTCAATATATTATTTGTGCATAACAAAGGAAAAAGGATACACTGTTTATTAAGAGATCACAAATATTGTATGTTCTTTTCTGATTCTTTCGCGTTCAAAATGTCTGTCTTGAAAGGGAATTATCACCAAGATGTTTATGTTCTGTTATGTTTATGTTCATATCGTATGTATTTTGCAAACGTATATCAAAGGGGACATGCCATTAAGAGGCCATTCTCTGACTTAGTCATTTTTTCAAAAGTGTGAAAATAAAGAAATTCATGAAAAGTTCTTAAAATATTCTGAATAACAAGTTGAATATATATATTTAATGATGGCACAAGCAAAAGTCTGAAAATTAACATGAAATGAAGGGTTTTGACAGATGCAAAAGATGGTAGATTTGTGATGAAGAAATAGAGGTTTTTGCAGTAACAACACAATTACCTCGAAGTTATCCGTCATGAGAGGCTGAGGACTAAACTTGACATAATTTCCAATCTCAGATTATCAGTAGTATCTAACTTAAGCCGGACAGCCACTCAAAATGTATATGGAGCCCATAAGATTCATTTTTCTCAATTGAAGTCACTATTTCTGTTTTTAGCTTCAGAGGATAGGAGGTACATGAACATGCTAAGTTTACCTAGATCACAAGCCTTACCACAAATATAAAGTATATAGGAATAGAGTTGATATGTGTGAAAACCTTAAACTTCCCATTTTATTGGGGATGGAACTTGTGGACCATGTGCATTTCTAACTTCTTCACATGTGCATGGATCTAAAATTGTGGCAGCCATCTTGGATTTGTCATATTATGTGGACATGGTTTTGGTTGTGCTGAATTTGTTTCAAAATAACATGTCTTGTATACCTTCGATAAGTGAGATAGGCATTTGAAATTAAATACAGATAGTATACTTGACATTTAATGCAGTAAACAGTAATACAATTCATTCTTACATAATAAGTGAGTCCAGACGAAAAGTTGTTATTGTGTTAGTTTAACTGGGCATAAATTACACTCATTGGCCTTGGTTTTCTTAATTGGCTTGGATAAAATGTTGTTTTGTTTATTCAGAAAAGGAGTATAGTTCAATATACAAGTTCACATTCGTTCCATCCTCTTGTAGAAATGAATCTCAAATATAGAACACAAAAATATAATAAAAAACAAGTTTCTATTAATTGCAAAAGTTAGCTTCTATGTCATGACTGAGTTTGGGTTCCGCTTCTAGGGAAAAATATCCATCTGGAAATATCGTATTGACCATTGCTATACACTCCATATTTAATCCTCCCAGTAAATAACATTGATATACAGTATACAAGTATATGACATCAAGGATCTGGGGTTTGGGTAACGTGAGACATGAGGCCACTTGTCTTTTTGAATCTCAAATTCAATATTCTTTCTTTAAACCCTCATATTTAATATTTTTGGAGTGGTAATTCAATTATGTACCTATTTTTTATTCTTTATCCCATAGTTGAACTCTGTTCCGCTCTGTTAGGTAACATAAAAAACATATTTATGATATTTTGCA